ATTAGAGCTCGACAGTTTGCCTGAATTTATTTATACATATTGTCTCACTTGTTTGATAAGGAATTGTTCCACTTATTCAACAAGGGGCTTGAACCCAACTAGTTTTTCATTTGTTCGAAGAGGGAGCGAGTTTAGGAAGAATGACACCCCACATTGTGAGACTTGGGAGAAATTGTGAACCACAAGTAAGATAGGCAACCTTAGCCAAGAAGCCTCTTATGCATGAATGGCTAGGATAGTCTCAGTTCCTTGATAATCCCAGTGTCATAAACCACGGTTTCGTGTCAGAGGCATAAGGAAGATGTAAGGGATGTGTGATCATGTATAAAAAAAATACAAGAGCACATAGTTGTTTGTATTATGATCCCATTGATGAAAATCTCATGACTAGTCTTATATCCATGTAAATTGTGTTACCAAGTCATTATCTTGTGAGTATATGCTAATATGAATGAGAAATGTGAATAATATTCTTGAACATGTTAAATGATTTGAGAATGATATCGTTACCTCTTACAGTTAAATTAATTGACATACAATAGTATAAGTTAGATAGACCTTAGTTATTGAGTAGTTATACTCACCCCTTTTTCTTCAATATTTTAGAAACTAGCTCATTGAGACAAGACTGAGGGAAATGATCTCAGACTTATGACATTATCTTAATTTGTATGCCTTAATAACTTTGAATCTATATGTATGATATATTATGATATTGCTAATTAGGATAAACCATGGTTACATACTTGCACCATGTATTTTGTTAATATTAAAAATGTGTATTTTGGGCCCTAGGATGAGTTTATGTGTGAATTGTGAAATCTATAGTAAGGTCAAAATACTAGTGTAAGTAAGAGATGAGCATGACATGTGATTGATAATGATTAATTGATGAATATGTGATTGAAGCTCCCCTTTCAGTTTTTGAAATTAAGGCGTTGAACATTGAAAATGTGTTGTATTTTTTATTTGTGAGATATAGTATATTGCACAAGTCTGTTTTGGTCTTTTGAGTGTGATCTATGGTGTGAATTTGGCTTATGGAACTGAAAATGTGAATTAGGCACTCAAGTTGTGTAGCAAGATTGAAAATGAGTGAGTTTTTGAAATGGGTGTCCAAATTTTAATTAAAAAATGTTATGATTATAAAATCAGTGCCATTAGTTAGAGTTAAGAAAAAGCTCTCTATAGACACATAGATCACCTCAATAGAACGTTAAATGGAGGAATGGGATGCGTCAAAAGTTTGTCCTTGTTTCTGTTAAATGACAGCAGCAATATTGTCATATATGTACAATGCACCGTGATGTATGGTACGGAGACATACAACCTGCGATGCATGTATGACAACCCACAGCACACGCTTCTCTTCTGCACAGATTTACTATTTTTAACTTTTATGCAAATGCTTTGATTTTTTTTTGAAATCTCATGCTTTCACATACAAGGATATTTTAGAGAATATTAACTTTTGGAGGAAAAAAAACTTGGTACTCTAATTTTTAATTGTACAAATTTGGTAAAATCATTGGGGATAATCCCTTAATTACCTTGAATAAAGAGTTAATTAAAGATTAGTAAAGAAAATTTTACATAGCCCCATCTCGATAAAGTGGATAACATGGCAAAAAGATTTAGATAACAATATTTATTGAAATATTAAATTACACGGCTTGTTAAGTTTAAAACCAAAATAACATAAGTATAAAAATCAAAATGATTTAAAATTAATTATTTAGTTACATCAATCATAGCTATAAGTGTATTATTTAAAATCAAGTATACATGAGACATGGTGTATCATTATAGTAACTACAAATGACCTCTAGGTTATAATAGTAATAACAATAAACAAGCTAAACATAACATCAAATGTGTTTTTCTTCTTTAATTAAGAAATTCTAAGTTAATGACTTTTCTAAAAATAAAACAAGAATTACAATATAATAAAATAATAAGTAGATAGATATAATAGTACATTATATTAATATAATTAATATAGTGTAAAAAAAAGAGATTATCTTGTAGTACTTGATCTATTTCAATAAAATTATCAATATCATGAACTTTTAGTTTTGAATAGGGATTGCAAATATTGAAATTATTATTAATATATTTAATATATTTAATGCATATTATATATATATATATATATATAAAATATGCGGGACAGGAGGGGATGTTTTGAGAGTAATTCTGTGTCTCGTCTTATCTCGAACCCTTTTTTGCCCCATCCTATAAAGTCTCGTCCAACTTTTTTTAGTTGAAAAAGACCCATCTTGATATGATCGAGACAGGATTGATCGACCAAGACAAGTACCAGATTAAATACCCCTAGATGTGAATGGGAAGGAAATGACCAAAATGGCATAGATTAATAATGCACAAACAAGTAAATGAGCTGTTGGTTCCTTTGTCATCTCCCAGCCACCTTCATCTCAATTCTTCCATGGCCTTCCTCCATGGTTTAAAGTGATTTTTCCTTGAATAGGATTTAAAATGATTTATATTTGTTGGGATTTCATTTTTGTTAGATATTTCTCTTTAAATAAATACCTACTTTTTTTTGATTTTTTTTTACTATAGTAGCTCTTATACGCACTAGTTTAATCATTTTATACTATGGTAGAGCTTCTTTAACTTGGTTTAATTTTTTTCTACTATGGTGAATTACTTTCTTGGCTTATAATATTATAAGTTAAATTTTTTTTTAATCATAGCATATTTTTAAAGTTAGTTCTTTTAATTTTTATTGTGGTTAATTATTTTTAATTATGGTTTAAGTCCTTTTTATCATGGTAAGTATTAATAATAGTTTTAATCTTAATTATCATGGCGGAGAATTATATATATTGTAGTTAAACAAGGAGATAATACACATTTGATATTTATATTTTATTGCATTCATTATTTTTTTTCACATAGTATATTAGTCCTTCTTAGTTCTTATTTCTCATTTTCTCAATTTTTCTTTTTGCTTATGCATGAACTGTTGCATGATGCATCGCGAGACTGGTTCTCACATTTATGATTTATTTATTTATTTATTTATCAGCACATTTGTGAAATTTAAAATGAATTATTTAGATGAAGGAAGAATGACAGATAGAATTTAAAGAGACTAAATAATTTAAATTAAATTTTAACTAATTTTAAAATGTCAAATTTTAAAAATTTTTAAGTTTGACTCTCAATTTTATAATTTTATTGTAATAAATTTATAACTTATTTTTTAAATTTTAACATGGTTAAATAATAATAAAATTTATTTTTTCTATTAAAATTTGAAGTATAATTTAAAAATTTATTATAATAAAATTAAAAAATTAAAAATCAAACTTATAAGTTTATGAAGTTCGACAATTTAAAATTAATTGAAACTTAATTAAAATTAATTAATTTCTTTAAAATCTATATATCATTCTCCCTAGATCAAACCCTCTTAGGAAAACCCAGGAGAAAATTATTAGTGAAAAGAATAAAATAATAAATACATATATCCGTACTTTGATCATGAGTGATATCTATTCCGTAGATGTCTAATTTATTATTTGGTACAATAGTAGGTAAAAAAAATTTTATATAATACTACCATTTCCTAATTTATAAAATATTTTTTAAAAAAATTATGAATAAAATTTATTAAATACATCTTATAATTTTATTTTTTAAAATAAAAATATAAACTTCAAAAAATATGTAAACAAATATTAAAGAGAGATAATATAATAAAAATAATAATATTAGAAAATTATCATTGATAAATTTTATTTTTATTAAAATGTCTTAGAATGCATAATCTTTTTTAAAAGTACCTTATAAATTGAGATAGATGTATTATAAAAATAATAATTTCCTTCAATTAAAGTGTTAATGTGCAAAAATACCTAAAAGAATTTTCTATGATCATATGATATTTTTAAATCAACAATAATACATGGTACCTATTAATTTTTTAAAAGAGTCTAACCTCCGTAAATTCATTAAAATAGTCTGACATTAACCATTAAGTTTTAAAAATAAAACTTAATTGATTAGGAAATGTGTGCTTCTTTTATAATGTTAATAAACAATCAGTACATTGTTGTTGATTTAAGGACAACATATGCTCCAAAAAAAAAAATTCTGAATATTGTTGCACATTAACTTCTGATTAAAAAAAACACACCATAGCTAACATAAGATGGTCTTGATAAAAATTTGAACCATATCCTTTCAACTTATGTATTCAAATTTTATTATCAATATAAAAATTTCATTGATTAACGATTTATGAGAAATGCAATAAATATTTTTTGAATCCAAAAATATATGTTGACTGAGTTTAAGGACCCAACTCATCGTTAGCAACCATTTTCTTTGCTCATTCATTCTAGTGGGGAGAAAAAAAAGGTTGACTCATCGTTAGCAACCATTTTCTTGTTCATTCGTTCTAGTGGATAAAAAAAAAAAAGGTTGAAAATTGGAATTTCCACGGCGAGCATCAACATTTAACCGTGTTCCCCCAAAAAAATCCCATAAGTCAGTCTGTCAGTGCATTCATCGTCGTCTTCCTCCCCACAATCCCATGCGTTCAGTTTTGGCCTGATGAGCAATCAAAAATCTGCACGGTCCAAATTTATTCTTTTTATTTTTTATATTTTAATATATACTTATTAAATTATAAAATATAAAATTTTAATAAATTTATTTTGTTATTATAAATTTAATTTGAGTAATTCAATTTAATATTATTCTTGTAAAAATATTTATAAATTAACTATTTAGATATACTCTGGATCCAATCCATCCGAAATACATTTAGATAGTCAATTTACAAACTTTTGTAAAAACATAATATTAAATTGAACCATTTAAATTAAATTTATATTATTTAAATTAATAATAAAATATAAAATTTTATAATTTTTTATAATAAATATGAATTAAAATTAAAAAAAATAAATTTTATAAAATCTAAACTTTTCAGATGCCCGTCAAGTAATGAGCACCGTGCCAAACTCCAATCCCATTCCCTGCAAAAACAAACCCCCCCTCTCTCTCTCCCTCCCTCTCTCTCTCTCTCTCTCTGTTCCTTCCCTCTCTCAGTCAAAAATGGATCATCCCAAATTCGTGATTGAAGCTTCCGAAGCCGAATCTATGGCCAAATCCTCCGGTCTCACTCTCAAACAGCTCCTTCCTTCCCTCGTCAAGTCCGCTCAGACCCTCGCTCGCACCCCCATTTCCAACTTCAACGTCGGAGCCGTCGGCGTCGGCCCCTCCGGCCGAATCTACTTTGGCGTCAACCTCGAGTTCCCTGGTCTCCCTCTTCACCACACCGTTCACGGAGAACAGTTCCTCGTCACTAATCTCTTCATCAATGGCGAGACCCATCTCGATTATCTCGCCGTCTCCGCCGCCCCTTGCGGCCATTGCCGCCAATTCCTCCAAGAAATTCGTGGCGCTCCCGATATCAGAATCCTCATCACCTCCGATGAGAATCCAGATTTCACTCCCTTGCCCAAGTTTCTCTCTCACCGATTCGGTCCCCACGATCTTCTTCCCCACGATACTCCTCTTCTCTTAGAACAACGTCACAATGGGTTAAGTTTCTCCGGCGAAACCCATAATCCATCACCCACGGGCTTCGTCTGTATTAATAATGGCTATCACCCAAATGAGAAATTGAAGTTTGCAGCCTTGGAGGCTGCGAATAAATCTCATGCACCATACAGTGGATCACCCTCTGGGATTGCTCTGATTGATTCTGATGGTAAGATTTACAAAGGGTCGTATATGGAATCGGCGGCGTATAACCCGAGCATAGGTCCGGTTCAGGCGGCCTTGGTGGCCTACGTCGCCGGCGGCGGTGGCGACTACGAGAAAATTGTTGGTGCGGTGTTGGTGGAGAAAGAAGCAGCAGTGGTGAGACAGGAACTTACCGCGAAGCTTCTGTTGCAATCAATATCATCACAATGTCAGTTTGACACATTCTTTTGCACTTGTGACGAATCATAATCATAATCATCTGAATTCTCAAATGAGAATATATGAAATTATTGGAGTTAACATTAAATTCAAGGAATTGATACTATTATAGTATCAATCCTCTGTATTCAACTTCATTAGCTTTATATATCTCATATTCAGATTTTCTTTTGATCCTTGTCTCTACTATTACTCTGTAGAACACGAGTCATGAGAATCTTGCTGTAGCAGAGACAAAAGTCAGAAGAGAAACTGAACTGTAAAATATCAGCTTGTTTGATGTGACCCTTTTAATACACACACACACATATTGTATCTGAGGTGATTGAAGGTAAGGACAAGAATTGGGTGGAGGGGGTCTATTGTGTATGATCATTTTGAGTTCTCAAGTTGTCAAGTTAGGTGGAAACCCATGGACGGTGTGCAATAATTCATCCTCTAGTGGCTTTGTGATTCAAGCAAATTTAATAACGCACCTCAATGATCCTTGTGTGATGTATGTAAAATTGTATATTTTATATATTGTGGTCTTGAATTTATTGGTGTTTAAATTATATGAGCATGTCAGCATGTGCCAATGTTCATGTTTTGGAAGTTTCCTTCCTTCTTTCCTCTAATTTACCCCTTGTTGTTTTGTGTGAACACCCAATATCTTGAGTCTACTGTACTCAAGTTGTGAGGATTTAATGAAATTCAAACCAATCAGGATCGAGATATGATAAGCATTATAAAAGTAGGTATTCTTGGCCACTTATGTTATTGCATTCACAAAATTTGAACTCAAAATTCCTAATTAAATTATAATAGCTCTTATCAATCGATCCGTGTGCTCTGGTTAGGTTTACTTTTCTTTAGGCACAAATGATAACAAGTCAATTTTCTTTTCTTCTCCTTTTTTTTTTTTTACTTATTTGAAACTTCTTCTTGTTTTCAAGCTTGACCTACCCAAAATAGCCAATAATTCTTCGGTCCTGACTATGCATCAGTTGAAAAATGTGAATTTGATTTGATTTTTTTGCTGCACAATACCGGGGGAAAAAAACAATAGTTCTGATTTTGAAACAGGGCCGCTGCATCTTTTTAGTTTGATTACAATGTTATTTTTTATAATTTTAAACACTAACAAAGGTAATTTTATTATAGCTTTGCTAGTTCATTTGTTAACATGGTTAAAATATACTGATGACACCTAAACAAATTGATTGACTATAACTACAAATTAAAAGTAAATAGAAAAAAGAAAAAAGCTTTCTTTTGCATTTGATTCAAATAAAATGTAGGAGACCGAAGCGAGATTAAGCAAACGTCAACAAAGAGATTAACAGAGTTAAATACATGTCAGCAAAATTAACTCTATCAATGCCAACTCATGGCCTTTATTAGGAACTAATATTGCAGACAAATTAAACTATAGTGATTGAAAATATTGAAATAAAGTTATATGGATTAAAAACAAAATGAAATCAAATTACATGAACCTATTGTTATACTTTCCGTTTTAAAAGAATTATTTTTTTAATATTGTGTTTTAGAAAATCCTTTTAATGTTGCGTTTGGCATGTGAAAAATGAAAAATGAACTTAAGCAAAAAGAAAAATTTGACAAAATTATTTTTGTTATGTTTAGTAGATGATAAAGTGAACTTTTTTTAAAGAGAGCTTTCCATATTTATAAATAATTTTTTTTTTAATTCTACACACTAAAAAAACATTTATCAAGGATATGTGCGTAAATGTAGAGTATGCATTCTAAGAGAAATATTTTTTTAAAATAAAAAAGTGTAAATGAATGTAACTATAATATATCAGACACACTCTCACTTCCTCTTTATACCCAAATCATCATGAATGAGAGGATTCAACTTTAAGAAACTTCTGAAAGTGAAATGTCATCATATTCATATTTTGATGATAGCGCTGCTGCACATGAATGAGGTGAAAGGTTGAGAAGAGATGGGTATCAATTTCTTTTTTAAATATTGTTGGGTGAATTTTTTTTAATCTCCTTTTTTTTAATGATTCTTTAGGAAGTATTTAATTTGATATTATTCATTTCAGAGTCATCATATCAAAAGGCAAAAAGAGAAAAATAGACCACATCCGTTTGTACTCCAATGGCCTGAAACTCTTTCAATTAAAACTCTTAATATTTGGATTTAAGACTAAAATATTTCTGTCACACACATTGTCCTGTTTATATAGAGAAATATAGGCACACACATATTTGCAGATGTAAGTCCCCCTTTCTGTTCTTTTATTGTTGTTGTTGTTGTGATGTTTTTGTTTAGATTTTAGGTGTGTTGGGTTTCAAAGGTTTACTAAAACTAAAGCCAAGTCATGCCTAAACTTAAAGAGCACTTGCAAATATATTTTTACATTATCTACCAACAAATTCCTCATATCGACAATCAATTTGAACACACGATCTTATAAATTATAAGTTAAATATTTGTTAAATGGATCAATGTTATTGGTAGTCTCCTTATGTGTTATGGTTTACCTTTCTTTGGGCGCAAAGTGATACCAAATATTCTCTTTCTTTTTTGGTTTGTAATTCTAGTTTCTCATCCAATTCTTCTGCTTGAGTTTCTCATTTCCAAGCTTAATGTTTCACATGATAAATAATTCTTTAGTCATGCTCATGACGCTGCGTCAGTTCAATGAATTTGGATCCAACGAATCTTTTAAGTACACCCATTCAATGCCTATCTCATAAAACAGATACACGATAACAACGATTTAATTTAATTAAAGACTGTTAAAAATTTTATTATATAATATTTTAAAAATATCAAATCTCAAATTTTTGAAAGGAACAATATTAGTAAAAGGTGTTTTGGTCATAAGAATTATTTTAAATTTTTAAAAGAAAATATATCTTAATAATTTTTAAATATTGATAAAATTCAACTGTTATTATTGAAACCTTCACTTAATGAATATTTTTAAACCATTTATCAAATTCAAATCTTAAATGGATAATCAATGTGAAAATGGACTTGCAAAAAAGGGAAAATATAAGAGAAACTGAGAAAGTGCTCTTGTCGTATTTATGAAACTTCACAGAAAAAGTGACTTTTTCCAAATTCCCATGTTATTAAATTTTTTTTTTCTCATTATATGTCAGACGAGGCCTAAACTGAAATTCGGATACTATGTGGCAAAAAAAAAAAAAAACACAAAATCTTGTTCGTTTTTTATGAAAAAGAGATCAGCTATACAGCAGAATAGAATCACTCAGGAGTGAATTTGTAAATGTGAAGAGTGTATTCAAGGAAGGATAAAAAGGACAAGTATAATTATTTTTTTATGAAAATAAGTATAATATAATATATGAATGTTAAAGATAATACCATAGTATTCCTATAAAATAGAAATATTATATTAAAAAAATGTAAAGACATTTTGAATATTTCAAAATATAATTAATAAAGTCTTTTCACAAATATTTTTAATTATAAGGTGTAATTAATGAAAATTTTTAATTGATATATTTTATTAAATAAAAATAAATATGGAAAATAGTAAATAATTTTAAATTTTATTAATTAAATTATTATGAAAATAAATTGTGAAAATTTCTATTAATTATTTTAAGAGTTACTACCTCTTATCCTTAATTTACTATTTATAAAAGAATTTTTCGTTCATTAGTATAAATTCCTATAAAGGGAATTACAGTTTTTTCTATTTAAACATATTAACTATGAGAACAAAAGAAATTTAAATTTAAATTATTTTATTCAATAAAATTGTAAATTTATATTTTTCTTAGATAAAGTTAATAATTTAATTATCTTTTCTTAATTTCAATATGATATTCAAAAATGCTTTTCAAATGCAATTTAAGAAAACAACTAATACTCTCTCCATTTTAAATTATAAGACAATTTAATACAAAATTATACATACCAATAAAATATAATAATGACACTTTATAATCTTATTTTTTTAAAATAAAACAATAAAATTAAAAAATATCTTTACACACTTAATCATTATGCTATAATATTATTTTAATTTTTTTTATTTAAAGGGTAATATTAAAAAAGTATTATTAATAAAATTTTATTTTTTTAAAAAATTATTTTATATTTCAAAATAATAATTTTTTTAAAATTGTTTTGTAACTTGAGATGAAGGAAATTCATCAAACGGTCAAAAGTTAGAAAATCAGGCGTGCGGGAGAGCCAGTTTGACCATGCATCAGTACGTAACTGAGGACTAATAATTAATTTTCATGTTCTCTACGTATCAACAAGCAATAAAAAATGAGAAGAAAAATGAGTTGGGGCAGCAATGTCAAAGATAAAATATTAAACAATAAAGATGCCTACTTTAATCCTGGAGTAGATATGGATAACTATTGGACTATACACTAAACAAATAATTATTGACGTGTGATGCAGATGATGAACTTGAATTGGCGATGATTCACGTGAGACCTTTATGCTGTGCTTTACTTGCAGAGAAAAATAATGGAAAGAGAAAAAATAAAAAGAAAAAAAATATAAAAATATAATATTCTCTCATTATGTTTGACTAAGTAAGAGAAAATAAAAAAAAAAGTTATTAATTTTATATGAACATTAATAATCTTATTATTTATAAAAATATTTATATAATAAAATTTAATATTTTAAGATATTATATATATATATATATATATATAAAATAATTTCTATTGCATATTTGGAGTTGAGAATATGAGTTAAATTATATGAGTTGGATCAAATAATTGGTCATGAGACTCAAGTTGAGTTAGAAAAAATGGACCCAAATAAAATGAATTTTTCTTGGCCCAGACTATATAACCCGTGAACCATATAAGTTAACTTTGATGGGTTAGTGTTGACTAGTTTAACCTATATTATTTTTAAAAAAATTAGAAAGGGAAAGTTTTTGTGGATATAAACTATATTAGGCATGACTTATTTAGTTGGATCAATTTATATATTTTATACAAACATTATAAATTAATATTTTGATATATTTATAATTAATCATAAAAAATATCAAATTAAAACTCATTATTTAGATATATTTTTTAAATTTATAAAAAATAAATAAACGAGTTGGCAAATTAACTTATTTAACCTACTAACCTTTAAGAGTTGGGTTGAGATTTTTCGAAAATAGATTGAACCCAACCCATATTTCTCTCAACCCACATGGGCTAACCTATATGGTTTGGATTGACCCATATTCTCACCTCTACATATATTATCACCCGAACAAAAACATGATTAAAAATTATTTTATCTAGTTTAAAAATTTATTTATTAAATTATGAAGTATATAATAATATTAAAATTTGAAAAATATAACTAAATATAAGATATTTAATTGAAAATTAACCTAAAAATTTATAATTACTATTTTTTAATTAATCTAAAAATTAAATATACTTTTTGTTTAACAAAAGTTTATTATCAAAATATAATTACACTACAAATATCATGATAAAAATGAAGGGAAGTAAGACATGGCAATAGAAAATTGGTGAGTAAATTTGGAAATAAAATTTTTTCTTCAAAATCTTCTCATATTTAAAAAAAAAAAATAGAGATAAAAAGATATAAGGCTCACATATTT